TTTTTTTTGTTTCTTATTTATATATTTCCCGCATCTTGAATAAAACAACGCGCACATACACATACATTGAAGCAAGCCATTCAGTATATATATAAGGAAAAAGAAAAAAAATATATATGTATACGTAGAATATATAGAGATACGCATGAATGATAAATTCACCGAGAATGTTGGAAGGTAAGCGGGATGTGTCTCAGATCTGTCCCTATGCCCAAGAGAAACAACCAAAATCAATCTGACAGACAGTCCAAAAGTGAAAAATAGAACAAAAAAAAAGCAAAATTAAGTAGATAGAGAAGGATAAGCTTTGAAATTAAGACAAAAAAAATGAACACTACGGAACAAAAGCTAAAAAAAAACGATAGACGTCAATTTTTGGCTGCATGCGTATAGGTATATGTATAGATATATATGTATATAGAAATTAAAAAAATAGTAATCGAAATTTTTTTTTCATTTTAACGACTTCCAAATGTATTATCAAAGGATGGCATTAAAAGTTCACGAGCAAAACCATCATTTATAAATTGTTTAAATTCTTTTATAAAATAAAAGATTAAAATTAAAATTTTTTCAATAAGAACAAAAGAAAATCAGTAGACGAATTCTTACCTTCAAAATTAAGTTTGCCACGCGCTGATAAATGTGACACCATACCTTGAATTTTATAATTTGATTCAGCTCGACCAACAACAAGAAGTAGATTTTCTATTTCTTGTTGATTTAAATAACCATCATTATCAGAATCTAATTTTTCGAATGTTTTACGTAGTTGAAAATCATTATATTGACCTGTTATAATAGGTGCTAATAACTCACAAAATTGTTCAAATGTTAATCGTCGAATATCTAATAGAAAAATATATATTTTATTTAAAAATAAAATAAAATTCATTTCTTTTTTATACGTGGTAATCGATCATTGTATTGATCAAATGTATCTTTATTGATTTCGAGACGAAAATGTTTATCTCGATGGGCACCATAAGATGTTTGTTGTTGTTGTTGTTGACGATTTCGACGATCACCACGTTCAAACCATTCATACATAACTATATTTTTTTATAATAAAAGAATATAAGATTAAATTATATATTTATTTTGTTGTATACCTTTAATCATTTCACCATTAACACGTTTTGTATATTGAGCATATTTTTTAACAATATCATCACGAATTTTATTATTAATGACTTGCATGATCTTCCAATCTTGTGCTTGATGGGCTATTAGAGATAATAGATAAATCGATCAAAGGTTTTTTTTTCCCCCTTTTTTTATTATTTAGATAAGGGCAACTTGATAAAGAAAAATCAAAAAATTGATTTTTATTGATAAGAAGGAATTTTTTTGCTTTTCTCTACTGATTTTTTTTGTTTTTTTATTAACAAAAAAAAGTATAAAGAGGAAAAAAATGAAATTCTCTTGAAAAATGTCTTTGTCTATTATAAATATCGTTTTTCTTTTCTGCCTATAACACAATCCTTTCTATAAAGCATACAAAGGTGGTTTATGGTGAAGGTCATCTATACTAGCTTAGAAGACGAGTTCATAATCCTGTTAGTGAACCTTGACGTTCGCTTAAGGGTGTATATATATATATTTATATTTATATGTATATCTATATGTATATATGAACTACAAACCGAGGACATGGTTGGGTGTTGTTGAAATAATCACAGGTGGATGGTGATACTCCATTTAATATGGTACGTTCCGTATACCAAAGGCTTGTTGTTACGACCAAACTATCGTCGATTGTGTCGATGAAGAAGAAGAAGGAGAAGAAAAAACAGACTGTTCTCGTTGCTGCAACTCATGGCATCACATACACGTAGACGGAGTGGCGGCGACACGCAAGCCAAGCAAGAAAAAAAGAAAGGTAGTGTATGTAATTGAAGACACAGCGAGAAGGAGAGAGAGAGAGAGGAAAGGTAAAAAAAAATATGAATGGAATTCGATGCTTGTATCGATGGAAGCGGTTCGACTACGACGAATTTTCAATTCTTCCTTTTTTTTTACTCTGTCTGTACTTCTTTCCCTTTCCCTTAGTTCACGATTGCATCACATAATATATACGAAAACGAGAGAGAGAGACAGAGAGACAGAGAGAAAGAAAACGAAAGAAGGAGTAAGTAAGAAAAATGCATATTCAATATTTGGAATTTTTAAATAGGTAAGCGTACTCTTTCTCTCAAGTATGTTTGTATATCCATCATAGTGTACTGAATTGGATAATTTGTGTTATTCACCATTTTTTTGGACCACATCAACAAAAAAAAGTAAATTCAAGGAGACGGAGAGAGACGAAAAACCTTAAATATACTCTTTTTCGGACATAAATATATTTTAACAGAACGAAGAAAAAGAATGAAAGAAAGAAAAGAAAAGAATCAAGACAGACCTAAAAAAGAAGGGTAAAATGGAATGACACGAAAACCTTCATTTTCTTAGTCTCATTGCGTTTTTTTCTCTTCTTTTCTCACTCTATTACTTTTATGATGATTATTATCATCACAAAAAAAA